TTTCAATTGTGAGGTTTTCTTATTGTTTTCCATTGTAAGGTTTTCTGGTTGTTTTCCATTGTAAGGTTTTCTTATTGTTTTCCAATGTAAGGTTTTCTTATTGTTTTCTATTTGGTGAGGCCCCAGGAAGCTCCAGGAGGCCACGCGAAGCACCAGGGGGCACCTATGCAGGTGGAGGAGGCGGAGGCGGAGGAGGAGGAGCTGAGACCATGCACGTTTATACCGGCTCCTTTCGCACGTGTGCGAAGGGGAGTATTTGACGACGGGCATCGTGACGAAGTCGCATAAGACAAGCACGTGGTCCGCCCTACACGGCGTGGCACAGCATTCCGTATAGCAAAGCCCAGCGTAGCGTGGAAGAGCATGCCATAGCGTGCCCACGCGAAGTATGGCAGACGTGTCAGAAGAAAGTTTAACTCAACTTACTTACCGGGTTCGTTGATTCCTTAAGTTTTTTGATTGTGAGGTTTTCTTATTGTTTTCGATTTGTGAGATTCTCTTATTGTTTTTGATTGTAACGTTTTACGTCGTCGGTCGTCGGTCATCGTCGTCGTCCGTCCGTCGTCGTCGTCGTCGTCGTCGGCCGTCGTCTTTCCCAGCTCTCCTCCGCGCCCGAGCTGTTCCCCGAATGTGTTCAAGGTTCACGTCGAGGTCCGACCGAGGTTCGAGACTCGAGGATCGAGGTTCGAACTTCGAGGCTCGAGGAGGTAAGAAGGGAAGGAGGAGGAGGAAAAGGAGGATGAGGCTGACGACGATGAGGGTGCGGAGGAGAACGATGAGGAGGATGATGTTGAGGATGCTGGTGATGATGATAATGATGCAGATGATTATGATGATGACGAGACGAGGAGGATGATGAGGAGGAGGATATGATGATGCTGAGGAGGAGGCAGGATGAGGAGGATGTGGATGAAGAGGATGAAGAACAATGGAAGCATGAAGAAGGGGAGGCCGAGGAGACGGAATCTGATGATGATGATGAGGAGGAGGATGACGACCATGAAGACGGTGATGATACATCGCATGAAGATGAGGAGGAGGAGGGGGATGCTGCTGATGATGATGATGCGAATCTCGATGATGATGATTATGATGGTTATGCTGATGATTATGTTTTGATGATGAGGATGCTGATGCTGATGATGATGATGATGATGATGATGATGATGATGATGATGATGATGAACATGTGGATGTTTATGAAGATGACGATTGAGACGACCATGACGATGATGAGGAACATGAGGGCGAGGCAGAGGCGGACGATCACAATGATGATGAAGAGGACGCGGAGGACGAACGATGACGAGGATGATGATGATGCTATGATGATGATGATGGTGCTGCGGGTGATGCTGCTGCAGATGATGATGATGATGATGATGATGATGATGATGATGATGATGATGATGATGATGATGATGATGATGATGATGATGATGGTGATGATGATTAGGCGGTGGAGGAGGAAGAGGGTGAGGATGGGGACGAAAAGGGAGGAGGGACAGAGAACTGATGAGTAATGCATTGCATCGTCGGCGACGCGAGAGCTTGCCCAATCATTACGAGGCGGCCTCACACCTCGTGGCACGCATCTGGGCGCCTGCTGTCGAAAGCTCCGACGGCAGGATGCAGAGGAGGAGGGGGAAGGAGTTGGTGGACAGGGAGGGGGGAGGATGAGGAGGAGGATGAGGAGGAGGTGGAGGAAGGACATAGCACAGGGGAGGGAGGAGGAAGATGAGGAGGAGGAGGAGGAGGAAAGACATAGCAGAGGAGGAGGAGGAGGAATATCTCCATGCGCACTTTGTTGAGCCTGTTGAGTTTAGGGTTGGCTGGATGGTTGATTGGTTGAGCATGCGTTGCAGAACCTTCCCTATTAAGATGGGGTCCCCGTGGGGGGGGGGGGCTAGCATATATATATATATATATATGTGCATATATGCATATATGCATATATATATATATATATATACATTTTCTCATACGCACCTCTCCGAGGGAGAGGCGATTAATGCGTACGCGGGGCGTTCGCGACTTTTCTGGCCGTTTCGCGAGGGACGTCCTTGAAATTTTGAAAATCGGTGCCACCCCTCACGCAGAAGATCGTGACGTCAGGGTCCAAAGACACATGGGAATTTCAACAGTTTTACATACCATCTTCAAAGACACTGTGTGGTTCCAATAATTTTGACACCGGTTCTCAGAGAATGGCGGTTTCGCCTGAAACATCTTCCCAACATCGAGCCCCGACGTACCCTCTGGTACCCCAGGCCCCGCCTCGGAGCCTCCTGGGGGCCTCCTGGAGCCTTCTGGGGCCTCCTGGGGCTTTCTGAACCTTCTGGTACCCCAGACCCCGCCTCGGAGCTTCCTGGGGGTCTCTTGAAACCTCCTGGGGCCTCCTGGATCCTCCTGCGGCCTCCTGGAGCCTCTTGGGGCCTCCTGAAGCCTCCTTGGGTCTCCTGGGGCCTCCTGAGGCCGCCTGGGGCCTCCTGGGGCCTCTTGGGGCCTCAGAACTACATGCACACACAGAGACACAAACCACGCCCAACACATCACACGCTAGACAAACATAACACACACACAACACAACACAACACAACACAACACAACACAACACAACACAACACAACACAACACAACACAACACAACACAACACAACACAACACAACACAACACAACACAACACAACACAACACAACACAACACAACACAACACAACACAACACAACACAACACAACACAACACACACACACACACAGCACAGCACAGCACAGCACAGCACAGCACAACACAACACAACACAACACAACACAACACAACACAACACAACACAACACAACACAACACAACACAACACAACACAACACAACACACACACACACCTACAACGCACAAGAAGCACGCACAACACAGAGCACACATCACATACACACACGCACCCACACAACACGCACAAATTCGGGGCCTCCTGGAGCCTCTTCTGGTATCCAAGTCGGGCCTCCTGAGGCTTCCTGGGGGGCCCTGGTACACACATCGCAAGGTGTGGCAACCCCATTTGCGCTCGAGTGCGACTTCGCTGTTGCATTTCACTCCTGCTTCAAACGCCCCTTCAGTTTTTTTGCATGAGCCTGGGCGCACACGTGCCACTTGTGTGTATATATATATATATATATATATATTTACATATATATATTTATATTTATATTTATATATACATACACCTATACGACCACCCCTCGGGTGATAAGGAGGTTGTGTGGGGGGGAAGGGGGGGCAACCAACATCTGTCTCAATCGATATCGCTATCGATTTCATTCAACGGGACACCACGGGACACCACGGGACTCTTGTCGATCTCACTATCGATCTCACTCAACGGGACACCACGGGACACCGCGGGCCACCACGGGACACCGCGGGACATCTCTCGATCTTACTATCGGTCTCACTATCGATCTCACTATCGATCTCACTCAACGGGACACCGTAGGACACCGCCTGCCACCACGGGACACCTTGGGACACCACATCGATCTCACTATCGATATCACTATCGATATCACTCAAGGGGACACCGCGGGACACCGGCGGGACACCTGCGGGGCGCCAGCGGGACGCCGGCGGGACACCGCGGGCCACCGGCCGCCGGAAGAGAAACATTTGGTCCGGCCGCGGCCCAGCCACAGGAGGATTTTCTTTCGCCCGCCCACGCAGCTTCGCCTCGCCCGCACGCGCGCACGCACGGCACGCACGACGCGAACCCGAAACCGAAATCGATTTCCCGGTAGAGGGGGGTCTCAGTTTCACGTCGGACTCACCCCCCAACCTCCGATATGTACATGTTTCTTTATTTATGTATGTATAAATGTGCATATTCACATGTTACCTGGTGTTTGTGTGTGTTTTCCGTCGGTTGGTCGGGCAGCCTTCGCAGTTCTTTCTTGCGTGCCATCGTCCAACGCTGCTCTCCGGTGATTTAGTGGCCGCCAATTCGCACCAGGCTGCTCGCGTTTCAGTTTAATTTGAGTTGGGTCGTTTCTTCGGTTTTCTGTCCGCTGCGCGTTTCGCATGGATTTGCACCACGTCTTTCACGCCCCCCGTTGCTGCAGTCGTTAGTGTGCAACGCTGTGCACTTTGCCTTCGACAGTGTTCGATCGCAGTTTACACTTGCATCCGCCGCTCGCGCTTTGGGGCCTACTGCGCCGACAACTTTAGACAGCTGCGTGTGTGTGTGTGTGTGTGTCTGTGCGCGCGTGCGTGCGTTAGTGCGTGCGTATGCTTGTGTATGTGCGTGTGAGTGTGTGTGTGTGTGTGTGTGCGTGCGTGCGTGCGTGCGTGCGTGCGTGCGTGCGTGCGTGCGTGTATGTTTGTCTGTTGTGTTTGTGTGTGTGCGCGTGTGCGTGTGTGTGCGTGTGTGTGTGTGTGTGTGTGTGTGTGTGACAGTTCATTTTTTTTGCGTTTCGCTTCCTAACGCCGGCGTGTCCGTGATCCAATGGCCGCCAGTTGCCGCCAGTCTGTTCGTGCATCAGTTCGTTCTGATTTGAGTATCCTCCTCAATTTTTCGGCCGCTGCATGTCCACGTTTGGGACTTATTTGTTCTTGCACCCCATCCTTTGTCAGTACGTTGCAGTGTGCGACATCTCGTACACTGTGCCTTCGACAGGCATCGATCGCATTTCGCACTTCCATCTTCTGCATGCGCTTGCAGACTTTTTGCGCCGTTGGCACAAACATGTTCTTGGTATGTTCCTTGTGTGCGTGTGTGTATGCGTGTGTGCGTGTGTGTGTATGTGTGTGCGTGTGTGTGTGTGTGTTTTTGTGTGTGTGTGTGTGCATGCGTGCATGCGTGCATGTGTGCATGCGTGCGTGCGTGCGTGCGTGCGCGCGCGCGTGTGAGTGCGTGAGCGTGTGTGTGTGTGTGTGTGCGTGTGCGTGTGCGTGTGCGTGTGCGTGCGTGCGTGCGTGTGTGTATGTATGTGTGTAGGTGTGTATACGTTGTGTGTGTGCTTGTTTGCGTGTGGCTTTCTATTTCACCGCGTGAACTAGCTGAACGCGGTGCTGGACATGCGCGGACGTCAGGGAAACGTGGGCAATGCCAATGGTTTGTTGGGTGCCAGCCGGGTTTCTGGAAGTTTGCAGTGGCGCCGCAAGGGAATATCAAGATGAAGAGGATGATGTGGTGTTCCAGAGCCGTTCTGGCTCAGGACATGATCTAGGTTCAGATAACTGTACTGTGCCACTTCCGTGTTGTCTAATCTAGGGTCCCGACCCCATGGGTGGCGGCACCGGGGGGGTACCCAGCGGGGTTGCTGTTTCGAGTCGCTCCCCCTCCCACCTTCCCTCTCATTCTCCTGCCTCCTCCATTTCCTTCCCTCTTCCCGAGGCGGCATACACATGGTGTAGCGCCAGGCTGAGTTCAAAGAGTTCCTCCATCCACCTCCTGCACCTCCTTTCCCTCTCCCTCCCTCCCCCTTCCCCCTTCCTGCCTCCGTCCATCCTCCTCCCTCCTCCCTCCTCCCTCCTCCATCCGCCAGGCTCCGTCCTCCTACATCCTACCCCCTCCCCTTCCCTTGCTAGCTGCCCCCCCCCCTCCCCCGCGTTGCCGCTCACCCGAGACGCAGCGATGGCGAGGAGCCGAGCGATTCCCCTCGGGAGCCTCGTCGCTCTGCTGACGCTGCGACCGCTGAGCGCGGTCCACAGCATGCTGGGGCCAGGAATTTCCTCCTCTTCCTCCTCCTCGCCCTCCTCCCATTCTTCCTCATCACTCCTCCTCGCTTCTCTTCACTCTTCCATCCTCACTCCTCGTCGTCACTCGTCACTCCTCCTCCCCCCCTCCCTCCTCCCCCTCCTTCTCCCTCTCCTTCTTCTCCTCCTTTCTCCTTCTCCCTCCTCTCTCCTTCAGCTTTGGCGTCGGCTTCAGCTTTTGGTGCATTGTGAATTGCCTTCGGGCCAGCTCGCCCGAGCTAGTTTTTCTTCTCAAATGGGTGCCTCCCTCCCACCCTCCTCCTCATGACTACTCCCTGCCCTTATCCTCTCCTCCCTCCTCCTTTAAGGCACGGGGTCTCTGGTGATGGAACCCTACCTGGCGCGCACTGGCGGCAGGCAGCAGTTCGAGATGGTGTCCAGACTGCATGCCGGCATCCGCACGCTGCAGTGGATCGAGAACCAGACCACCCAGCTCAGTCTCGGCAATTACTCGGGCCCGACGGACGTCACCGGCATTGTCACGCACGCGGGGAAGCACGCCCTGGACTACATCGACAGTGCTACCATGCTGGGCCTCGTGCTCCAGCGCTACTTGCCCGATGTGCCCAGGTTCGCCATTGTGATAGAGGGTATGAAGGACTACTACCAAGACCAGCTCAAGGACGCAGGCTGGCACCTCATCATGGTCGAGGACTGGGGGCCCGAGCACATCGGCGGCAGTGCGGCCTCCAACTTTCTCGGTCGCTGGGGAGACAGCTTCGAAAAGCTCAACGTCTGGCGGTTCCCACTAGATCGTGTGCTCTTCTTGGACTCAGACACCTATGTGTTCAGCGATAAGGTACGAGACATCTTCGACACCAAGCTGGAGCCTGACCAGATCGCCATGACCAAGGACGGATGCAAGTCGGAGCACAACAGTGGCATGATGCTGTTCAAGCCTGATCTTTCTGTCTACAGTGACCTTCTCCGCATGATTGCTCTCGCACCTGGCGGCAGCCGAGAGATCCTTGACCAGACGCTCATCAACAATCACTACAAGGGCAAGATCGTGACCGTGGACACGAGGTTCAATTGTATCGATTATCAGGCCGACAAGAACTGCAAGTTGAGCTGCGGGCAGGACACCATCATTGCACACTTCACTGGTAATCCGAAGCCCACACGGGAAGGAGTTCGCCATGTCGAACTAGTGCGGTCCTTGAATGGCAGCTCTGCTTGTCAGGGCACCAATCTGGGTGGCTGCCAGCTCTGGCCGAGATACTATTGCGATATGAAGACGAACACGCCCTATCTTAGCAAGCTGCTCAAGAGGACCCTCAATCAGACGGGCCCGTGTCTGTGGGAGAACTAGTCCGACGCGCTGGAAAGGGCGGCTTCTCGAGGAGCGTGGCCCTGGCGGTCAAACCTTACGTTGAGCATCCCAGGTTCGTTACCTAACGGGGGCTTCTCTCGACTACACGTAAAGAGTGACCTTTCGCTGGAGTGATGACCTTGGGTGCGGGCTCAATGCGGTCCCCCGATCGCCGAACGCGAAGTGGTAGCAGCGTCTTGCGCGCTTGTGTCTGGCCCCCCCCTGTGGCCCCCCGAAAGCCGCGCACCACAGGTCACGCTTACCAAGGGTCACTCTTGCGTGTTGTCGATTTCTTCCCACGGCATCAGCGCCCAGTCGCTGTGGCACAGGAGCCGCTGGACCCATTTCAGTGAGATGGCGGCCAAGGGGTTCAGCAGCTCTGCACTGCGCCAGGCTGGCCGGTGCGAGGAACCCTGCTCGGCGTGGACCGTCGCTCCGCAAGAAACACCTCGACATCCCGATGGGCGAGAGGGAGAAGGGGGAAGGAGGAGGGACAGGAGGAGGGGGAAGAGGAGGAAAAGGAGTATGAGGAGGAGGAGAAGGAGGAGGAGGAGGAGGAGGAGGGGGAGGAGGAGGAGGAAGCAGAGGAGGAAACAGAGGAGAATGCGAAGGAGGAGGATGAGGAGGTGGAGGAGGAAGAGGAGGAGAAGGATGAGGAGGAATAGGGAGTGATAAAGGAGGAGGAAGAGGAGGAGGAAGAGGATGAGGAGGAGGAGGAGGAGGAGAAGGAGGAAGAGGAGGAGGAGGAGGGGGAAGCGAAGGAGGAGGAGGGGGAAGCGGAGGAGGAGGAGGAGGAGGAGGAGGGGGAGGATGAGGAGGAGAAAGATGATGATGATGATGATGATGATGATGATGATGATGATGATGATGATGATGATGATGATGATGATGATGATGATGATGATGATGCTGATGCTGATGCTGATGCTGATGCTGATGCTGATGCTGATGCTGATGCTGATGCTGATGCCGATGCTGATGCTGATGCTGATGCTGCTGATGATGATGCTGATGCTGCTGCTGATGATTGTGATGTTACTGATGATATGCTGATGTTGTTGATGATGATAAAGCTGCTGCTGATGATGACGGGTGAATGATTGAATTAATGAAAACTGACTGATTGACGGAGTGGTGATGATGATGACGATGATGATGATGATGATGATGATGATGATGATGATGACCATACTGATGATGCTGATTATGATGATGATGATGATGATGATGATGATGTTGATGCTGCTGCTGATGATGATGCTGATGATGCTTCGGCTGATGATAATGATGCTGATGCTAATGATGATGACGATGATGATGCTGATGCTGATGATGCTGATGATGCTGCTGATGATGGTGATGATGATAATGCTGATGATGATGGTGATGTGATGATGATGCTGATGGTGCTGATGATAATCATGATGATGCTGATGCTGATGATGGTGATGATGATGATGATGATGTTGTTGATAACGATGACGATGATGCTGCTGATGATGATTATGATGATGGTAGTGCTGCTGACGATGATGATGCTGCTGATGATGATGAAGCTGCTGTTGCTGATGATGATATGATGCTGGTGCTGGTAATGATGCTACCTGCTGCTGATGATGCTGATTCTGATGATGATGAATATTGATGATGATTCTGATGATGATGAGTTTGATGAGGATTATCATTGTCATGATGATGATGATGATGATGATGATGATGATGATACTGATGCTGATGCTGATGATTATGATGATGGTGATGCTGATGATACTATTGATGCTGATGCTGTGAATGAGGATGCTGCTGATGATGATGCTGATGACGGTAATGATCATGACGACAATCAGGAGGAGGAGTACTATGCTGATGTTGATGCTGATGCTGCTGATGATGACGACGATGATGATGATTATGATGATGGTGATGCTAATGATGATGCTTTCGTTGCTAATGATGGTGATGATGATGTTGATGCTGATGGTGATGATCCTGATGATGGTGCTGCTGATGATGATGCTAATGACGATGCTGACGGTGATGATGACGATGATGACGTTGATTATGCTGCTGATGATGCTGATGATGATGTTGCTGCTGATGATGATGATGCTGACGATGCGGCTGCTGCTGATACTGATGATGACGATGATGATGATGCTGATGCTGATGCTGATGCTGATGATGACGTTGATGATGCTGCTGCTGCTTCTGATGCTGATGATGATGCTGATGATGGTGATGGTGATGGTGATGGTGACGATGATGATGATGATGATGATGATGATGATGATGATGATGATGATGATGATGATGATGATGATGATGATGGCGGGGAAGGAGGAGGACGAGGGGAGGAGGAGGGGGAATAGGCGGAGGAAGAGGAGGAGGAGGAAGGAGGAGGAGGAGGAGGAGAGGAGGAGTTGGAGGAGGAGAAGGAGGAGGGGGAGGAGGAGGAGGAGAAGTTAGAGGAGGAGAAGGAGGAACAGGGGGAGGGGGAGGAGGAGGGGGAGGAGGAGGAGGAGGAGGAGGAGGAGGAGGAGGAGGAGGGATAAGAGGAGTAGGAGGAGGAGGAGGAGGAGGAGGAGAAGTTGAGGATGAGGAGGAAGAGCAGGAGGAGGAGGAGGAGGAGGAGGAGGAGGAGGAGAGGAGGGTTATGAAAAGGCGGTGGAGAGGAGGAGGAGGAGGAGGAATAGGTGGAGGACGATGAGGAGGAGGAGGAGGCGGAGCCGAGGAGGAGGAGAGGAGGAGGAGGAGGAGGAGGAGGAGGAAGGGTGGGGAAGGCCAGGGCGGAGGCCGGCGGAGAAGGCAGAGGAGGAGTAGGAGGAGGAGGAGGAGGAGGATGAGGAGGAGGACGAGGAGTAGGATGGAGGAGGAGGAGGAGGAACAGGAGTAGGAGGAGGAGGGGGAAGCGGATGGGTGGACGAGGAGGAGACGAGGAGGA